TAGCAAATTTTAGAGCTACAACTGTAAGGTCACTGAGCTCATCCCAACATCTACACAGATGCTGCCATCTTCACCAGTGCTTTACGACTACGCACCCTGCAGCGCTCAAGCTGTTAAGATATTCCATGCCAGGTTAGATTGCTCTCTCCCGCACGCATACAGTTTTACACCATGCAGAACCTGAGAAGTTTACAGAAAAAGAGAGTTAAAGAAAACGTTGACAAATCAAGGTTTCCTGCAGATTAATTCCTGCCCGCTACAGTCTCCCTGGTGCTCACAAAGAAACAGTCTTATCTTCTGAAAAAGCACGACTGAAAACTGTGATTTACACATCTTACTCTGAAAGCTGCTGTCATTGTGATGTTTTAAAGATGAACCAAGAAAATTCCTTCTGCATAGAAATATTCTAACAGCCCCAAGCCCAAATGAACGCACACACACACACAAATAAAAGGGTCAAGATAACTACACTAAAAAGGAAGAAATATTTTTAAAGCATATGTGTATATAGTGAGACCCTCATCTGTTTTTGAATTATGATCTCTTCAACCTTGGATCCTTTTTAAAGAGTAGTGCAGGGACTTCTCATTCAAATATGCATTACAAGAAAGGAAGATATGAAATCGATTTGAATTTTAAAAAAGCCAACATAGTATTGATGAAAAGTCTAGCACTGGGCTCATGTCCCTCAGCAGTACTGAAGAATAAAGTCTCATCTTTGTATAGAGAAAAATTATCTACAGGATGCAAGAATCTAACAGAGAACTTTCATTTCAGTACTATCAACAACTTCAGCAGAATTTAAAGGGTTACCAAGGCACGCTCCTTCTCTGACTGTGCACAGATTCAGCACCTTTTCTGCTATCACAGATCTTTTAGGAATATTCTGCTCAGCTTCAGAGATGCCTTCAGAGGTCAATAGATAGCTGAGGAACTGAAAGAAAACTGCACAAGTTTTCCTTTCTCTTACTCCTTGGGAAGCCTTTGGGCAAAAACACAGAAACATACTGAAATATTCACAGGGGAGACTAATTTTAAGGCATGGAGATATGAAACCCTGGAAGGAGATATGACAGAATATTTCTCAATATTATATTGTTTCTGGGGGAAAGATCGCTGTGGTAAGGAAAGAGGAATGAAATTAAACAGGACAAAAAAAAAAAAGGTCTCTAAAATGTCTGCTATGACTGATGGCAAACCACACAACACCACCAGAAGGCCCAGAAGGGCAACCAGAGGTCTGCCCTGGCCCAGGAAACTGAAGCCCTAGCTCCAGTGCTGGGGCAGAACTGAAAACATGATGTTGCTGACAGGTGCTTGTTAAAGCTCTTCTCCATGTTTGTTTGTTTGTTTTAAACAAGTGTTTTACTTTACACTTCTTTCTGTGTCTTATAATAAGATTTGTTTTTTCCACAACATATATTTGTCCTGCAGGACCCACCCCACCCAAGATACCTTCCCAAGTCGGAAAAGAACTAATAACTATGTTGTGTTTTTTTTTCAATCACAGAATCACAGAATCACAGAATTTCTAGGTTGGAAGAGACCTCAAGATCATCGAGTCCAACCTCTAACCTAACACTAACAGTCCCCACTAAACCATATCCCTAAGCTCTACATCTAAACGTCTTTTGAAGACTTCCAGGGATGGTGACTCCACCACCTCCCTGGGCAGCCCTTTGAGAACACAGATGATAACAAGCATGTCTTTGCCATACTTGTTGAAAGTTTTATCAAAGTCAAGAACTTGCACATCAGTTGCATCTCCTCACTCACTGCGCCAGTTAACCTACCAAACCAGATATATTTGTTATTGAAAAGTTACGGTGATATTTTTCTCCACCAGTGTACCACTACTAAGTATCTGTGATTTAATCATTTAGTATTATTCCCAAACTTTTTAATGGAGTTAAAATTGAGCTGCAGAATACTAAGCTGATTTCTCCTTATTCTGAAAGTAGCAAACCTTACAAAAATAAGAGAGACCTTAATAATCAGGTAAACAATAGCACTGTGACTTAAAAATGCACCCAACTTGAAACACCTCAGAAAGGTGTTTTTAAACTCAATAATATCCGAATGTCCAAACGTGAGGGCACTAATTTCAGTCTGAGCACCAAGAAGCACAGCTCTGGCCAGCCCTCCGGGCACAGGTGCATGCAGCGGGGTGGCTGGACAGCTTTAGTGCTGTATCTTTTGAATAAAAAGTAGTGCCAACTTTTGTTTGCAGTACCAGGGACTGGACTGGCTGATGCAAACGGTTCGTGCAGCTCTGTCATTATCACATTAGCTTGTTGGGTTTTTTTTGACCTGTTTTCACTTCTCACAAGTGTCTTTATCATCGTTTTGAGAAATGTTACTTAAGTGCGTTCTATTTCATGAGCATTTCCACTTAAAGCTCTTATCCTGGACACCTCTGGAATGGCACTTACTTGCATCACTGAAATAAACAGCCTGAAACCTTTTAATCGTTTTAACTTTATAGAAGCGCCGCCGCCTTTCTCCGGACCACCCCATTCTTCAGACGTGCGCTGCGCGAGATTTAAGGAGGATCTCGTTCATTTACCCAAAAGCACTATAAAATATATTAAAATCACCCTTTACCCTACTCTTCATCCGCCTTGAAAGCCACTTACCCTTTAAGCACCCCATACACGGAAACGATCGTGAGGCTGCCCCCGGGGCACCCAGCGCCCGCCTCCCTCCTCTCACCCCCCGGCCCCTCGGGCCGCCCCCCGCCCCGCTCACCAAGAGGGGGACGCCGTAGGTCATGGTGCGGCCCCTCCACAGGCGCCGGAGCCGCTCCATGGGCCCCGGCAGCGTTTTCCTCCCTCCTCCCCTCGGTGCCCGGCGGTTCCGGGCCGCCACAGCCGCTCCCTCCGGCGGCGCAACGCGGCCGCGGTCGCGGCGTTCCGCGGGGAGGCTGCAAATGGCGGCGCCGCGCCCCTGCCGTCGTGCCCGTCCCCTGTGAATCCCTTGTCTGAGGGAAAGTGTGGTAGAGGAGTTTGTCCTCCCTAAAGACACCTTTGAAGTCGCAGAAATGAGTAAACAACACAAAACTACAGAGAAAAAAGGCTCTCAGGCAACCCTGAGGCTGATGAGCAGCTACTGTGCGGCCAGGTGGTTGGTGGCTGGACGTCCCCAGGGAGAAGTTCCCTTCGCGATTCCCAAAGGTGAAAGCAAGAACGTGTTTCTGCAGCCAAATCTGCCCCAGTAGGCAGAGGAAAGGCCTGCAGCGAACAGTTGGGGAAGGAACAAAGGCTTGTGTCTGTAACAAAGAAAAATCCATGTGAAAATCAATAGCTGCTACGGCGCTCCCAGCAGGGAAGAGAGTAGCAGTCCCCTGCCAGCAAGGTGAGGACAGCCTTTTGGCACCTGCTGAGCCGTGGGTACTGCGCTGGTGAAGATCTAGCACTGCTTGTGTACACGCTTTGTATTCACCAATAAAGATTTGTAGGGGTCACAGTCCCTGCTGAGCACACCCTGGTGTTGAACGTGTGAAAAAGAGCTTCAGGAAGGGGATTTGATTCAAATCCTCGGCGTTTTTCTGTGTACTGCACTTCCTTGTGGGTTTCTGAGGGACATTTGGAAAAGGGCTTGGCCTGGGCTAAGTGGATCTCAAAACATGCTACTTTGCAGAATGATGATTAAATGATGACTAGCAGAAAGGAATTACTAGTTCACTGAATCTCAGCACACGTGGGGTTTTACTGCCATCTCTAAAGCCAGCCTGCGGAGCTGAGACCAGGGGCATTTCAGGAAAGCAGGTGGCGTGGAGAGACAAGGAGCTTCCGTAGCTTACCAGGGAAAGCAGGACTGCAGGAAACATTGCCATTCAGATTGGTAAGGCTGAGGGCACCACTGCATTTAAACTTATACAGCTTCTACCCTCCCCAGTGAGACATATAAAAATATTTGCTCAGTGGATGACCAGTACATAGGCAGCAGAAGCTATACTTACAACAAAACACAAGTCAGCTCAATGCTGTTAAGGAAAATGTGCAAACCCCAATAGGTTTTGTAGGTGAATACACATCTTCTTTCCTGAGGGCTTTCTTCTATGATTTTGAACTTTCCATCAAATCTCATTGATTAGGCAGTCCTCAGGGTCTGGCAGTTAGCTGTGTCTTTCATTTTGTTTCCCAAGGAGATAAAACTACCATGATCGTACTGCCAATTTTCCTCCACTGTTATCCCTTATCCCAATCATGTTGCACTCCCAGAAACTTTTAAATCTGATCAAAACAAAGCCAGCTACAGCAGCATTAATGGATCATCTGCTGCGGTTTAGAACCATCAGTCATTCATTCCTGGTAGCAATTTAATGTCTTCCACCATCCCCTCAAACAACTGAATTCCAGAAATGCTGACTTTTGTCTGGGAGTGAAGAGAGCAAAAGAACAGGCCTGTGTTCATCTCTGGGCTGCGTTCAGTCTGAGATGAAGTCATCACAGAGCACTCCTATCAGCACTGGGAATAATCTGAAATTAAGAGAATTGCTATTGCAGATACAGGAGTGCTGAGAAGAACGGTTACTACTTACCTCATTTGCCTCACTGTAACTTTCCATAAAAACAGTTTGTCCTGTAACTTGAATTAGACTAACCTTACCTTCATTGTTACTGTCTCACCTGAGGACTATTAGCTCCCTGCTAGAGAAGTAACCCTCAGCTGCTGATGCCCATGTACAGCGTTGGTGCCCTCCCATTCCAGCTTCAACAAGGGCACAAAAAGTCCTGGCAGTAAGTAGAAGGGTTAAGAGTCTGTGCTGGTGCCATTGGGTGCTCTTGTCAAGACTCATAAGCTGCTCTTTGTTTTCACTGATAATTGCTGGTAGCTAAATTTTTTCCATGGTGTTATAATCTAAAACAGTCAGAGAAAGTAAATAAGAAACTAAATGCAAATGTTATAATAATTACAAAATAATAGCAATAATTCTGTGTTAGAAGGATAAAACAAGTGCTTAAACCAAACATGCTGTGCTACAGATGAGCAGTAAATTAGACTTAAAAATGTTTTCATTTTTAATAATCTAAAATGCTGTTAAATTACAGAGATAAAGCTATCACCAATATATATTTTATTTCCACAGTGTCCCTTTGTTCTTGACATTGTTGGTCAATCACCTTGAACAGAGAGGGGTGGGGAGAAACCTTTTTTGAAGACTGAAATATATTCTGGTTTTGACTTATGACAGAGGTTTCATGCCTCCTTGTTATGACCCCGACTGCCATAAACAGACTGACAAACATAAAAGTAGGTAAACAAACATCTGGTTTTTATGACACTGACAGCTCTTCCCAAGCGTTACTCCCAATGCTTCAAGCACATAGTCATGTCCCCCCCAAGAAGGTTGAGTGCACCTTTCTTGTCTGTGTTACAATACAGCCAGTTAAACATTTTACTTTGTGAACTACTGTGAGAGGGTTTTCCTCATGAAACGTGCTGCTGGGGCCATAGTTCTCTCCTAGGTGTGTGCATGAGGTTTTACATGGCGCTCAGGTGCTGAATGGAAACCCAAGGGCTGGCTGGCTGGCTTTTGCCACATCAGGAACAAGGCGCATCTGACTGCAGTTTCCCTGCCCTGCATGGAAGCTCTGGGAAAGCCTTTTCTCACTTTCCTCCAGAGAAGGACTTTAAAAAAGAGATTTGAAAATTCCCTGCACGTATTGTGCTGCTGGCTATTGGCAGGCACCCTGGGAACTTCAGACAAATGGAGCTTGCGCTGCTGGTTCAGGCTACAGTGCCCATGACTGCAGGGGAAGGGAGTACACAACAGTACATTGTGTAATGTTTCTGGGCAGCAGGATGGAGAACAGCATAGAAATCTTATTAAACATCCCTGGACAAGCCAGGGTAATCAAGACTGGTGCTGGATTGGATACCAGGAGCTGCAGAATTGCTCACAATGCAGTATTGGCTGTGGGTAGCCAAGGTTAGTAAGGAACATGACTTTAGTTCAGTACAGAACTTGCAGCAATTTGTTCAGAGGATAAAAATGAGAGGTGTGTTGTAAAAGGTTTGTTGCCCAAACACACACACATCACTCCAGGCAGCAGTGGAGTGAGACCAACCTGTGTGTTGTATTTCCATATGGTATATCTCACCAAAGCCTTTCTTCATGAAGAGTGTGCACATGTAACAAGCTACTAAGCACTGCCTGTGCAGACACGATGCACAGCATAGCCAGCCATGAAAGCACACGCTTCTGTATACCTGAGCTAAAGAAACAGTTGGACTTAGCACACTCTTGGTCTGACAGCAACCAATGAAAGGAGACAACCCATCTTCAGCGCTTGTAGTTTTTCTGGGTGGAGGGAGGAAGTCCTGACTTGGTAGCAGCTGTTGAGAACAGCACTTCTAAAACAGACACCTTCTGTCAGCACTGGGCCTGTTCCTTTTTCATCCTCCTTTGTGTGGCCAAGAGGAGGTAAAAGGGAGAAAGTGGGGTCTGGATTTCCCCTTTGATGCTCTCCCACATCATCTGAATACAACTCCTAGTGAGGTAACTGAGTGCGAGAGTTAGCGAATGTGTCCTTTCCTCCCTCCTCAGCTTTCTTATCAGCCACCAGAATGAGTGGAAAAAGATCCAAAGACCAGATTTTTGTCAAGAGCCGGCCTGGAGAGACCAGTGAGCCAGCTCTGCCCATTTTTCATGCCATTGAAATAGTGCACACAACAGAAGGCACCATGGTGGCCCATGCATGGGAAGGGTCATCCATGCTTTCCTGATGTGGCCCTAGGTTTCCCCTCCACCTCCAGAAAGGGAGGAGAAGGAAACGTGGTGACGTTCTTTGGGTTCGCCACTTATTTGTTACCTTCTTGGGTTGGCTTTAAAATAGGCTGGGGAAGGGTGGCTCGGGAGACACCTTTTAGGTCTCGTGAGTGCAGAACAAGCTGAAGGAAGTACTGGTCTTCCCAGCAGATTCCTTCTCCTCACCTTACTGCTCCAGAAGGCCATTTCCCCCAAAGACTGCCAGCAACCATCAGCTAGGAGACAGATTCGCCAGCCTGGGGAAAAGAGGAAACCAGGAACACTGCCTAGAAATAGGGGAACTGAGAGGGGTCTGTGCCAAAAAGCACCAATATGGACAACAGTCATCTCTGCACCTACTTAGCAGCTGCCTTTATGCACTAGCCCCATCCTTTTTTCTTTTGACCCCAAAGAAAAGCCATGGTAACACATTCATTTTCTAGGTTCTCTTTGTTATTTTCAAGAGCAGGACTGTCATTCGAGCTCTTAAACTTGAGTACTGAAAACTGGTGTTTGTAGAACAGCAGCACCTTTCATTTGTCCTTCACGTGAGTTAGAAACCTGATAATTACAAAAGGGATGGGGCTGAGTGGAGCTTGTTGCTGGTCTAAGAGATGAGGTTGAGTTCTGGCTCTGCCTCCTTCACTGGGTGTGGGCAGGAGATTTGCCATTTGGGAATGGCAACCCCAGCCAAAATAGAGTGGAGGCTGCTGGGCTTAAGTGGGTGGGGGAAGAGATAAAAAGATAAAACTGCTCCAGAGGAGGAACGTCACAGTATGGTGCCCCCCGTCCCTATGTGTGCTCTCATGCCTGAGAGAGTCAGCAGTTCTCCATGGATCGAGGAGCATGAGGATCCCGGGAGGAGAATCCAGCTTAGTTGCCACACCTCTCAGCTCAGCGTTGGAGTTCACAATCGTTTTGGCAAGCAACTGTCGTGGCAGCCCTCTGAAAAGGGTCTGAAGCTTCTCCTCCTCAGTAGGGGTCTTCCTTCCCCTGCGTTGTCAGGTGAAGAAAACAGAGAAACCAAGGTGTGTGAAAGGGTGAGCGAGGAAGAAATAGTACACGAGAGAGGAGAACGTTATTAGAGAGCATACTGGGCACAGCTTAGACCCGGGTATGTCTACAGGTTCGCGAGGTGCCTGAGGCTGAGGGGGTGGCAGAGGTGGAGGGGGACTCCTCATCCGTTGTGTCCCCCTGCTCCTCCTTGTGGAGCCCGAGGCTGATGTGGCTCTGCAGGGCTGCCGGCGTCAGCCACTCCTTTGGGAGGCAGCTCTGGAGGAAGGGGATGCAGGAGCTGAAGTAGGCCAGGCGGTTCACCCAGCGGGGGATCTCCTTCCCACACAGGATCTGTGGAGCAAACCAAACAAGAGCACGGTTAATAGTACCCAAACACATGTGTAGTGGTAGCATCACCTCCATCTGCTCCGTCACCTCAGCTGGTGTGCTCCCCATTGCTCTGAAGAGACCTGTTTGAATTCAGGGAGCATCCTCTACAGCCAAAACCAGCTCTAATTGCAAACGACAGCACGCAGCGACTTCTCAACACACACAGCCCTGCCAGCCATAGCCCATATCAGCATCTGAGCAGTGACTGGGGAAAACAGCTCATGGCCCTCAACATCTTCAGCCAGACCATTCTCCAGGCAGTCCATGGGTTAAGGGACAGGCTTGCTGCTGCCCCTCCGCCAAGACAATGACGCTCATCTTCAGAATTGTTCAAAAAATTTGGGAAAAGATTTAAGCTGTTGCTGGGCAGACTCTAAGAACTGAGAAGCTGAGCCTGACTAGGCAGATCTCCGGAGATGCCTGAGAAGCTGCTCTTCCTGCTCACTTTCCTTCCTTGTGCCGACACAACGGGTCAGTCAAGTTACAATACCTCAGGGTCCTTTTCCTACTGTCACATCACACTTTGATTTCTCCTTGCGTAGCATTTCCTAAATGCAGGGAAGAGATGTGCAAATGTAAAAATACTAACTTCTCACTAGGTCTGTGTTTCATCACACATGCTGCTGGCCCCAATTTGGGTTACACTCTGCTAGCACAGGCACTTTTTCTAAGTTGTATCATATTCAGCACAATGAAACACCTTGCTGCATACTGCAGACCCTTCCTTCTGCAGCATTTGACCATGCATACATACAGCTGTCAGATTTTAGTAGGTCTATCTGGCTTAGGCCACATAAGGAAAATTTCCCTTTGCATTTTACCATTTCCCAAAGCAGACACAGAAGAGGCACCTGGAATTTACCAGCCTCAAGGATCTGTCCTTGGTAAATACACTGCCTGTGCTGCCCTACACCAGTATGCTAGAGCCTGAGGTCTGTGGCAGGTCATACTACCTGAATTCTCCTTCCCACCCAGCACTGTCTCCAAGGCAGATTTTGAGGAAATGGCACCCCACAGACCTCGTTCCGTACTTTACATGGATTAGTGCTTCCAGGGCTGTCCACGCTGCACCTTCTGCCAGTACTAAGCTCCTTTCATTTCTCTCCCACCTTCTTCCTGACTAAAACTACACTTAATTTAATACCAATTACTGCAAAAACTAAGAGGTTGTTTGTCTCTAATCCACTAAAGAGCTTATTTGGCGAGATGTCTGTTATTGACAGTGGAAATGCAGGAATGCTTAGAGGTTTCAAGGGATTTTTCAGCGAGCAGCACTGGAGCAGTTGCAAAGAGGACAGGCCATACTGCTGGACAGGTCTTAGGACAGATGGCCAGCTGGTCCTTCACGTGCACTTTGGTCTGGCCAGAATAATCTAAGCTCCAGTCCAGCAGTCACCTTGAGTGTAAGGAAATTAGCTTACTCTGACAGCGTGGAATTTCCAATAAGGTGTGGAGATAGAAGCAAACCTGAGACCATGCTAATTTGACTATGGAACTAACTTTATTCTGACATGCATTGTTTAAAAATCAATGTGTGAAACTGAAGCCATTATCATTAGGCATCAGAGAACAAGCAGAACCATTTGGCTTCTTAAATTATTTTCAGGTACAGAGTCCTGTTCTTTACTCAATACACTAAATTACAAGGGTAATCAAGGACTTCTAATTCCGTTCTTAATGGTGCTGCATTTTACTTAACCTCAGACACAGCCATATGAATCTGTGTTTTTGATATTTTTAATCTGTGGACAGTTCCTTCAGTGGCAATTCTTTATCCCCATCCGGATTCCTGGTTTCCATTGCTAGAACTACTGCCTGAATCAATAAGCACAGGCACTCTCTACCTGCATTTAAGACTCATTCAAAGAAAATCTGCTGATCTATTTGATTTTCTCATCAGACGCCTCTGATCATTTTCATAAGAATACTGCTGAATTTTTAAAACTGTATTCAATATCTTCTACTCGAACATTGAACTCGAGCCAAAACCAACAAACAAATGCAGCAGAATTGCCTCTAGATTTCGTAGCATTTCTCTTTCTTCCTGCCCAGGAACTCAGGCAACATATTGCCAGTGTAGAAAGTGACTCAGTTCAGGCTCCTTGTGATGCATGCATACATGTGAATTCAGTTCTCAAGCAACCATAGGTCTTCCTAAAGATTTCTCCCCCCCAGATGTTAATAGGAAAACAAAAACAGGGTATGATTCTTCAGAAAATTAGTAGAAGCAATAGAACAGAACAAGGTAAGACTGCTTGAAATGGAAATACAGCTTTAAAATTTGTCTTTCTTTTCTAAGCAGATTCCCTGGCAAATGAAATAGCACTTCCAAATGTGGAAGCGATGCTGAAACGTTTGCTGTTTGTTTATGGGAGCTTCTTCACCCAGAATGAATCAGTGAGGCCAGGAGGAGCCATAAAAAGAACTGAGAGATGTGTGGGCATCATGACATCGATCAGCAAAGGGCTGTTTGTGAAGCTTAAGGATAATGATAGAGTCAAAGCGGTTTCCCTTTCCTCAGATGTGTTTGCCCTTGTCTCTCATCAGCAAAGCCTCGTTACTATTCCACAGCAAAACACAATGCTCCACGGGAGCAAAAGGGCAACTGCAGGGAATTCCACTAACACTGTAACCTTCTCCTCTGTTTTCAGCTTCTTGCCATAGAGTGTGTCATGCTACATCATCCAGCAGTACTTGGCTCACGGAGAAGCATCAAGTAAGCCTGACTGTGATGGGATTGAGCCAACCAAACTTAAATAAAACAACACAAGCAAGATGAAGTGGGTGTTTTTCAGCCGTGTATGAATCCACAGAAACCTTACTGCAGCTCTTTAAGGCAATTCTCAACTGAAAACCACACATTGGAACAATAAACTTAATAAACTTACAGAACCCTGTTACCATACACTGTTTCCACAAGAAGAATTTTTTTTTTTTTTTAAAAGGTTCTCAGAAATTGGGCATTTAAGAGTTTTTTCTTGCCTGACAACCAAGTTATTTTTTCTTTTTTTAAGAGGGGTAAACTTTCCTGTGATGGGTCATGTAGCTGTTGTGTCAAACTTAGCATATAAGCCGCTATGGGTCAGAAATCACCAGTCCCGACCATCCTATCAAATTGTCCTGCTACCGTCCCTTTTGGAAATACCCAGGGACCAGGAAACTACCACAGCTGCAGCAGAGCCTGAGTGTGACACCTGAAAAAAGCACAGCTGAGCCTCTTGGTGTGCAGCTGACTGGAGAAGAAACTTTAAAGAAACACCTAGGGCCACAGAAGGGCTAAGCCTATGTGAGATGCAAGCCTGAAAGGTAGCTCAGGGGTTAGCTGTAGCTTATCTGAGGCATAGAAGTGCTTGGGATGGGCAACCCTGCGTAGTACAGGAGAGGCTGAACTATGAGCAGCAAACCTCAGGCCATTCAGGCTAAGCAGAGCTCTGCAGACCTCCTGTGAATATTGTCTGGCTATCACTGCTGAGCACAGCTCTTCCTCATCTTTCTCGCTCTGTGAGGTGCCTGAAGGCGTGAGTTATTCCACCCACCCCACAGAGACAGCCAGCCACTGCCACAGCCTGAAACGCAGCCCCTGGGACAGCGGGTGCAGCTTCTGCTTGCTGGCCCTGACCGGTGCCCACCTACCTCCTGCAGAAGCCCCCGCGCAGGCTGCATGTACTCGCAGCTTCCACTGAGCGGCACCTTGTGACAGTCAGCCCGGGCTCCCGGGGGCTGCACAGGAGCTGCAGGGGACTCTGCAGATGCAGCTGGGTCAAAGGGAAGCAGCAGTTCAGACATCCGTGGCTGAAGCCAAATGTGAGGGAGAAACGGGACCCGGCAGTTCGGGTGCTGTTTCTGCACGGCTGTCAAATCCACACCGGGATTTCAACTCATCAAGAAGCAGCTTGTATAGCATGTAAAAAGAGCCTCTGAGCATCTTCAGCCATGCCATTTGGCAGTAAACAGACCCTGGTTAAAATATATAAACAGCCCTAGGGTATAAGGACTGCAACTCACGACTCTTCCCTCCCTTAAGTGCCCTAAGAGTGAGGATTTATTTCTCAGCAAGACCTTACAGTTCTGTGTAAAGCTTTACCTTGAGCAGGAGAGCAGCCTAGCAGCTGGGAAACGTGGGTTTGTATGCCATCCTGCTACGGAAGAAGCTGAGTCTTCTGCCTTACAGAGAACAATGCAATCAGCCTGCTGCTATCCTCCTCTTTCTTCTCTTTTGAGACAGGGATAAGGTATGTGCCGCGTTCTGTGAACGCTATTAAAATATACTAGATGTAATCTGTGGTAGCTTAATGGATCGAGCCCCTTCCAAAAGAGGGCGAAGGGCTGTTTAGTTGCGGATCCTAAAAGAAAACACTTAAATGCAGTAAGTTCAGTGCTGTGCTGGATGGTGCAAATTGGGGCAATTCAGACCACGCACAGAAATTTAAGTCACCACTCTTAGGTATATGTTTGTTTTTTTTAAGTGAGCCCTTCCAGAGGCACCATGTAATCCTCTGGTCCATGAAAATGAAGCTGTGCAGAGGCAGCGTTACATTCCTCAAGCAATGCGTGCTAATTACTTCAGTTCTTATGGTGCTGAGGCTCTGAGAGTTCAGCCCTGAACATCTGCTCAGCCACCCACGGCTACTTCCCCTCAGCTGCCCTGCTTAGAACGAGGTGGCGGCCACACAGGGCACGTATCCACAGAGCTGCTGTGCAGGGTTCCCTTGGCACATCGCGGAGAATGCAAAGGGGCTTACTGCTGCCTGAGGAGTCCAACACATCCCACAGCACTTCAGGGGCAAAGCCTTCAGAGTCCAAGGGGAATCCTTCCAGCGTTTGTTCCTATAAGACCTAGACAACACAGCATAGATGACGCTTATCTGAATTTCAGAATAAGGCCATTAGATGCAAACCAGCACACCTGCCCAGGCAAAGCTTGCAGGCTGCACTAGAGCTGCCAGAAGCATGTGTAAAAA